CTTTTCATTTGGTGGTAAAGATTTTTTTTTGAAAGAAGAATTAAAATAAGCGAAAACGGCTGGGAGCACAATGGAGAATGTAGTGTTGATAGACCGACTCACTTTATCCATTGCATTTTTCAGCTTAACTCCAAGTTACAAATAAGGGTTTCTTTGTAGCATGTCTAAAATCAGCTGGAATTATGTCTTTTTTGTTTTCTACATATGTACAAAACAGATTAAATGTACTTTTAATCTTACATCCGCTTTGTCATGGCGGGTGAGGTCAAGTTTTCGTGCTTTACATACCAAAGTTAGCTAGGTACAAAGAGAAAGTGGTCAAATCATTTACTTCGGTCAGGCACAGGTTTTGAAGCTAGGGGTGAAATCAAAGTAGACCCATTTTCTCTCCGCAGTGGCATCCACCAACTCCCTTGCTATAGCACTAAAAGAATGCAGCTATGATGGCCAGGTGCCAGTTCCTTATACTGATAGTTGTCTCTAAACTTCTTTCTCTCACTCTATCTGAGACAAATTACAAAGGTCTCTTTTTAACCACCTGCTACATGATCTTTCCTATCTAGCCACTTTTGTCATTAACTTTCCAGAACTGCTCTACCTTGGTAATAAAGCGGCTTCCACATCGATACACCCAAATACATTAATGGGGTTAGAGCAAGCGCTTTAATCCAATGAGTGTTAGGTACAACATTTGTCACCATAGCTACCCTTTAATCAACATGGTAGTAGATAATTTTGCCTCTGTGACAGGTGGTGTTTAAAAGTAGAGTTGACTGTATGAAGGTCACCTGTATTTGTCTATGCAGTAAGCTGCTATCGCTTGTGGATATGACCTAACAATCCTAGGAGAGCCTATACCAATAAAGTGGTGGATTAATCGTTCTCAAAAATGTATACCATTTGTGCAATTCACCCACAGGTCATGAGTCAATCAGGCACCACACCGAATATGGCATGGTCCAGAAATGGAGCACCTGCATATAGGTATATGGATGAGCCCATGAAATGTGTAAAAGGTAACCTAAATAGGCCATGCTCTCAATTAACTACTGAATTCAGTAACAGTACAGAGTAACCTCCATGTAAATTTATCTACTCACAAGTCTCCTAAATGCTCGAAAGAATGTCAGGAGGGTTCACACCATTAACTCGTATGCATGACATTTTATACGAGATGGATCTACAATGGTACATCGGTACATGCGCACTGTTGTGCTCTTATTTTGATGCTTCTCTCCAAAAAAATCTTTACCACCGAATAAAAA